TTATTCCACAACGAGCGCCGCAATTATTGTTATTGTGTCACGATCTAATTCAATTTTAACCCTCGCCCGTAAACGGCGATCTGCCACCTTCGCCCATGCAGGGGGGGGGGGGGTTGGTGCGACCCCCCCTTGGCGTTTGAAAACGGAGCGTCGTAGAGCTTAGCGGAAAAGACCAACGGATTGCTCTCGCCGAGATCTCGCGATTGGTGGTATATTTTTTGGTCCTAGGTCAACATTTGACCTACTTTTGACCGGTCAAAGGTCAAATTTTCGGAAAAATAGCCTTTTTTAACTTTCCGCGGCGATTGCGGCAAAACGGTGGGAGATATCGACTTGAAACCTTCACTATCGTGTTCCTTGATCAATTCTCTATCGTTTGGTATGTATTTCGTTTCCCTAGCTCTAAAAATGGCGCGTTGGGAGCGCCGGAAGTCGGCAAGGTCACAGTCGGCGGCAGAAATTCGAAAAATCAAAATTTAAATTTTTGAAATCTGATTGTATTTTTGGATTTGGGAGGTCCATTTGCTCCCTATAGAAGCTAATATTGCTGCATATTCCCATTGAGGTGACAAGAATTAGCAAAATAGTGGTTCGGGCGCTTTTCAAAAATAGTACCGGACGCTGTTCCTCTTGTGACGTCATAGTTCCGTGACCTGACCTGACCCGGTCAAGTTTCTTATACCATATGATAGCCAATACTTGCCCCAACATGCATGGGAAGTTTCATCACGATCCATCAACCGATGTCCGTACCACCGGCAGGAAACCTCGGGCGTTGGCACTCAGTTTGTGAAAATCCGGCCGGAGGCTGTTCCCTTTGTGACGTCATAACTCCGTGACCTGACATGACCCGGTCAAATTTTTTTTACCAAAAGATGCGCAAGGTTTGCCCCATAAGGTACCCAAAATTTGGCGGCGCTGCGCGCCGCCGTTTTTGCACTATTTTCGAAAAACCTCAGGGGGGGGGGTTGCACCAACCCCCCCCCTACATGGGCGAGGGTTAATAAGTGACCTTACCCTCGTAGTATTTTACCCTTACCCTCGTATTTTAAAAAAGTTAAATCCAAACACCCTAATAATTTCCAGCACAGCTCTTCATCAGAATACAAAGCTAAAAATGTCACGATAAAAATGTCACTGAGAAACTAATTCAATAAAGGGTGAAATAGCGAATATAAGATTTAACCCTATTCCTGGCGGGGGGGGGGCCTCAGGAGCCCCCCTGAGGTTTTTTGGTTATTTCTCCCAAACGCGTTGAGCTAGGAAGCTCAAATTTTCTTACTTTTCCTAAAAGGCTTCTACGCAACATGTCTGAAAATTTTGAGTTGATCTGACCTCAGGTCAGGTCACCAGAGGCGGTTTGGTGACCCTACCTCAGAAAAGTTTGCAATCACGCCAGAGCTAGAGTTTTTGACCGATCAATTTCTTCTCTTCAGGCTTTAGTTAGGGTACCAGTATGTGCAATTTGTATATCTCGGAATTTTGATATCGGTGACCTAAGGTCAGGTCAGTTTCGCGACCTCCCCATTATAAGTCAATGGGGGAAAAATCAACTCCCTGTTTTTACCACTAAAACGGGTCGGAATGGCCCCATATACCATACATGACTTCATATACGATCAACCTTCACTACCTTGAGGTCTGTTTGCTGTTGGGCAGCTGTGAGTTCATGTGACGTCATCAAAGGTCACCAAAGGTTTTTGGCCAATAACTCCGTACAGGAACAAGATACAGACGCGTGGATGGTCTCATTGTGTTCAGCTCGTCAAGACGCATCGAATGATATACATGATGACCTCGAGGTCACGTGACCTGAGGTCAACCTTTGACCTTGACCTTTCGAGGTCAACATATATATCATTCGATGCGGATTGACGAGAGGATTACGATGATGCCCTTAGTTTGTTCCTATCTCGACTAATTCGAAAGTTATTCGAGAAAAACTCTCTCCATATCTAGCGCCGCCATTTTGACTTTTTCGACCCCTGTGACGTCATCTTTGACCTGACCTGAAAATGACCTTGGTAAAAATTGTAGACCTTGTCCATGCGTATCCGATGCCGTTTACCGCTTGTCGCTATCTTGCTTCGTTCTCGAGATCTCAGGGGGGGGGGGCCGAATCGGCCCCCCCCCCGCCAGTTTCTTGTCCCGGCGGAGCCCGCCAGGAATAGGGTTAATCGACCGACCCTGCTTTAAATATAAAAGCCTGAGCGTTCAAAACAAAATCAAGCTAAGAAATCTCGGGAAGCACTACGCGCCTTGACGCAATCACCGGCAGGTCCATGGCTATTAGTCTGCACCATATGACCTTTATCAGATGTCGGCTTTTCCGCTGATTAAACGTCAGGATTACTTCTGTTTGTTACGATCTCTGACCTTAGGACCTAAGGTACATGAAGCAAGGAACGACTCCTAATCACTGTAGTGACCTTCTCATGGCTATTGATTGCCTCATCCGAGCGGGTAAGGAGACGGCGTAAGTATTATTCATAGGCACTAGAGGTGAAAATGAACTCTTACGGCGGAATAGGTAATGAAAAGTTCCTGGTAGGTAAGTTTACGGGAAGCTGTTTGGGCATCGTCGGCTTTCAAATAGGGCCAGTAAGCTTCATATACCCAAAGCAGAGACTTCCTAACCGTTATATGATTATAGGACACGTTGGGCTTATAACGTAGCTGCGGGACAGCGGAAGCTGAATCCTGGAAGCCGGCAGCGTTATCGTTTTATGGAGACATCACAGTGGAGTGAAGTGAACCCATGGGTATACCTACCCTCAGATGTTATATAGGGTGCCTCAGGTCATGGAGAACGTCGATATGTTTTCACTTAGTTGATTAAAGCGCTCTGAGACTGATGGCTGTTTAAAACCGATTAAACAACTTGGGCTCAATGCTCAATAGAGTGTGTACTGTTTAGGTATTGCGCAGACTGCAAGGCTCCCCGTGAAGCCGGCTATATATATGTAGGTTGGACTCTGTTCCCTCCTGACCAGTGTCAACACATGACCGAGGGCGTTGGCCATTCGACCGGTGTTTATATCCGAGATCGGTCTGCAGGCGGCGTCACCGCGAACGGCGTGCGGCGCAATGTGACGTCGGGTCGGGCTTAGAAGGCACCACGTGTAACGGAGTATTAGGTGTGATCTAGCCGCGCACTTCACACTTGAAGTCGGTATGAAGCTATGCTTACACGAGTGCCTTCCAACCTTATTGATTTATTGGTTTGTTACTTGATCTGGAATTGCTCCACCCGAATGGCCGCTCGAAGTACTGAAGTTCCACTTGTCAAAAGCCTTAGCTGTACGTTTTAACCCTAGAACGCCTAGGGGGGGGGGGGTTGTATCACCCCCCCCCCTGAGGTTTTTTCGAAGTGCACGCTAAACGGCTTGTCGTAGCGGGCTGAAATTTTCAATACCCTCTGGTGCAACCTTTGCGCATCTTTTTCCGAAAAAAATTGATCGGGTCATGTCAGGTCACGGAGTTATGACGTCATAAGAGGTACAGCCTCCGGCCGACAGTTACCAAACGTGTGCGCCGAATCCCTAGGTTTTCTGCCGGTGATACCCACATTGTTTGATGGATCATGATGAAACTTCCCATGCATGTTGGGGCAAGCATTGGCTATCGTGTGGTGCAAGAAAATTGACCGGGTCAGGTCAGGTCACGGAGCTATGACGTCACAAGAGGAACAGCGTCCGGTACTATTTTTGAAAAGCGCCCGAACCACTATTTTGCTAATTCTTGTCACCTCAATGGGAATATGCAGCAATATTAGCTTCTATAGGGAGCAAATGGACCTCCCAAATCCAAAAATACAATCAGATTTCAAAAATTTAAATTTTGATTTTTCGAATTTCTGCCGCCGACTGTGACCTTGCCGACTTCCGGCGCTCCCAACGCGCCATTTTTAGAGCTAGGGAAACGAAATACATACCAAACGATAGAGAATTGATCAAGGAACACGATAGTGAAGGTTTCAAGTCGATATCTTCCACCGTTTTGCCGCAATCGCCGCGGAAAGTTAAAAAAGGCTATTTTTCCGAAAATTTGACCTTTGACCGGTCATAAGTAGGTCAAATGTTGACCTAGGACCAAAAAATATACCACCAATCGCGAGATCTCGTTGAGAGCAATCCGTTGGTTTTTCCGCTAAGCTCTACGACCTTCCGTTTCGAAACGCCAGGGGGGGGTCGTAACAACCCCCCCCCCCCCTGGTCGTTCGTGTTATGAGAAATGGCCTGGTCGTGCGAGGGTTAAACGTATCTTTGACCAGCAGAATCAAACACATCTTTATTTACGCAATATAGATAACTTCACAAACTTTTTCGGAAACTTGTCCAAAATTTCATCGAAAACCATATTTCATCCCACCAAATCATAAAGGAAACGTATAAAACTCGTGGCCCACTAAAGGGTCCAAAGGCCGACTCTTATTCAATGAAGGATGTATCGACTTGCATGCTTTTTGTACAGCTCGTGTTATCCTTGAACAAGTGACTGACGATCGATATGTTCTGCTGGTCCATCTATTTATTGTCCTTGACGTGCAGAGCGTAACAACAACTGCTACTAGTAAAGCTCTCAAATGACCCGTTGGCAAATAAATGATGACCCGTCTTATAGCTTTTGATACATTATAGGGCCGTCGCTGTAAGTTCGATGCAATGACTGATCCTTCATCATGCAGAACAGCCTTTCAGGAGGACTAAAAATAGTTCTGTGACCTAATTGTGAGTTCTCTCCTGCCGGCGGTGACCGGGTACGAGTCAAATAGCTGCAGCCAGTGCTTACGCTCAAACCTAGCCTTGAGCGCTGCAGTCGCTATATAACCTAACAGATATATTTAGCAGAGCGGACAAAGTCCACCTAAACAGCGGTGGACGGCCGGCTGGCGATCAGATTGCACGGCGCACACGCACAGTCTCCTTCCTCTCTCTGACGGAGCGCTGCCGACGGAGAGGAGATCAGAGAGTATAGCGCCGGTCAGAACAGTGAGAGCAGAGCATATCAGGGCCATGTGGGCCATCGCAATACTGGTGTGTCTTGTCGCCTTCTATGTCTGCAAGAGGATTCGGAATCATTCTAGCAAGCTGCCGCCAGGTATGCATAATACATATAATACGCTTCCCACCCGTGATATCTTATCAACGTGTTGTTCACAAACGACGATTGTACAGTTGTATTCTCCTCTTAGCTCTCAATGCTGTTTAGTTTTCATTTCAATAAGGTGACGATATCTATTGATGCATTTTTTTTTCACTACATAAACCAGTTAGGGACATCTCTTCACAATACCTTTATCTGACCTCTCGAACAATCACCGAATTGCAGTTATATAGATGGAGTTACAAGTATGTAGGTTAAATACCCAAGCATTTATATGCATCGAGGTGTGCAACGTTACAAGCAAAACATACCTAAACAATTACTTATCACACATCCTGTTGTCTTTTTTTATTTATTCGGCGGCCAGTGCAAGTACAAGACCTGGTTTAGCGCACGGTGACTATAAATAGCGGTTTAGCGGTTCGCTGCTGAACGTTGCCATTGGTAGGCATGACACAACATTTAGCGACATGGTAAGCTGATACGATAGCTCGACAAAGCACTTTCCTCATGATGCAATTCGAAGTCAGCCTGCTGTAGACAGTCTGATTGTTGTCTGGGAGTGTATTCACCAGAAGGCGTTTCAGTGGCTGGCGGCAATAGGACTTCCCAGAAGTCCCCGGCACGGAGTCTCCCCCGGCCCCATTGACCTGGACTGCCGCTGCCGCAGGGCCGTTCAACATCCCGCTACTGGGCAGCTGGGAGTTCATCAAGCTGTACCTCTGTGACGGCGACATGGCGCGCATGTACGAGCGGCTCGGCGCCCGCTACGGACCGGTCGTGTTTCTGCGCGTGGCCATGGACACGCCGGTGGTGGCCATCCGCACCTACGAGGCCATCAAGGCAAGTCACGAAGTGTCCCACACGCGTGGTTCCAAGGAAAAGTGACGATAAATCATATGAGTATTTAGCACGTCCTTAGTAAATGTAGGTTTATGATTGATTAGGCATGTTTTTTTTTAAGCGATAAAACGATAAATTAATATTTTTAGCGGCACAAGTTTGCTGGGCACCACGTACGAACGACTCCAATGGTTTACCTACCTATAAACGTGAGGCAGTTGCGATAGGAGGAAAGATGAGACGAGATCGAGTGCACTAAGTCGACTTCATTTCCGGTGACCTTTTCTTCCATTTCCTCGTTTTTACCAGGAGGCGTCCAAGGACCTGCAGCTGGGTGCCATCGGCGGGTCGTATCTGTACCGTCAGATGAGCGCGTGGCACAACCTCGGGCTCAGCTTCGCCGAGGGCAAGAACTGGCATGACAACCGGCGCTTCACCATCAACACGCTGGGGAAGCTCGGCTTCACCAGGCGGAAGATCGAGCCGCTGGTGGCGCACGAGTGCGCGATGACGGTGCAGAAGCTGACTGAAGCGGCCGGCCAGCCGGTGGACTCGCACCAGATCCTGCCGGCGGCGGCGCTGAACAGCATACTGCAGCTCCTTATGAGCAGGAGGTTCGAGCTCGACGACCACCAGGTGCTGAGGATGCGGAGTGACAGCGTCACTCTGTTCAGCATCATGGCCAAGATTCAGACGTACCTGGACTTCGCGCCATGGCTGAACAAACTCGCCGGCAAAGACTCAGTCAGCAACGAACTCAATCGAGTCATGGGCTCCTTCTACGAGTTTGTTGACCAGGTCATCGCTGAACACGAGGAAACCTTCAATGAAGACGAGGAGCCTCGTGACCTGTTGGACGCCTACCTCGCCGCTCGGAGTCAGGGCCGCACGGACCAGGACCTCTCGAGGGCCAACCTGCGGGTGCTGATGAAGGACCTGATCGTGGGCGGCCTGGAAGGGCCGTACACGACGCTCTCGTGGCTGCTGCTGCTGCTCGCCGAGCACCGGGACGTGCAGCAGCGCGTGCAGGACGAGCTGGACGCCGCCGTGGGCGCCGACCGGACGCCCACCATCGAGGACCAGCACGCCTGTCCGCTCACACTGGCCGCCATCGACGAGACGCTCCGCTACGTGACGCTGACTCCGTTCAACCGGCACTTCGCGGCGGCCGGCGGCGCCACCCTGCAGGGCTACCACATCCCCGCCGGCAGCGTCATCCTGGTGGACATCAACTCGCTGCACCACGACCCGGCCGTGTGGGGCGACCCGGACGTGTTCCGGCCGGACCGCTTCCTCGGGGAGGAGGGCGCCCGGCTGCGTCACCGGGTGCGTGGCTTCGGCCTGAGCCCGCGCTCCTGTCCGGCGGAGCCCTACAGTCGCACCATGCTGTTCCTGTTCGCGGCGGGGCTGCTGCAGAGGATGACGCTGCGCCTGCCGGACGGCCAGCAGCGGATGACCGCCGGCCAGGGCTACTCGGTCACCCTGCAACCCGGTCAGACCATGGTGATCGGCCATCCGCGCTGACGCCCGAACGGCAGCGACGACTGGGAGGGGACGAGTGGGTATGTCGGAGACTCCTGCAGTTCGGGCCAGTTGTCAGTAAATGTATGTACACTGTACAGGTAGGTACTGTTGCCAGCAATAGGTCATTTTGAAGCATGAATAGGTATATTGGGTGCCGTCGCTTGTAGTTATGCTGAATACACACTTACCTACTTTGACAGTACCTATGCGTATGTATATATGTAGTTATGCGTTTTTATGAAAAGGGCGTAGAAGCCAGTGAAATATTTGCACAATCACTTCTAACGTTTATATAAACCACCAAAGCGACTCGAACTCTGATCACCTACTCGATGATCAGGCCGATGGGGATGTCCAAGATCAGAGATCCGAGGCAGGTCAGTGAGCACATTGCTGATTGCACAGTCAGGAGGCCTTGACTCTGAGCCCTGAGAGTTTTCCCTAAAAAGTCCCTAGTACTTACGGAATATTGACTACAAAAATAAATATAGCTCAACTGTTCAATCTTCCGCAGAATCTCCCGTCAACAGGAGAATTTGATTATTAGAGGTGTAAATTCATTAGCATGTCAGGCGTCAAACTGCCACCTCTCTTGGAAATATTATAATTTCATGCGTTTTTTAATAAATCTAGCCCTAAGTTAAAAGTTATGATCTTTCAAATCAAATGAAAAAGCATTTATTATGACAGGATCAATATTATAATTTTATATACTTCTCACGATGCATATTTACGTCTGGACAACGAGTTGCGGGGAAAAGTGCTGATTGTGTTGCAGTTTTAGGAGCCGGTGATTAGGCTGGATTTTTGGGTTACTTTTTCGTTCCGATTCATGTATTTCATAGTGTTTGGCTTTTGAATATTTTAGTTCTTTCAGATAAATATTACTTGCCTTACAACTTTTGTAAAAACATTTCATTTTTTTATAAGCCGACGTTCAGAGTCCTAAAAATACATCACCACTACAATCATTGTAAACAAACAAATGGAGCACCACTTGGCTCTGTTCCAAGGCCATTTTTTAGTTTATCTGGTGGTTTTCTTGCTCTTGTACGTTGTTTTGTTGGATGTTTTGAATCCCTTAAGATTGACTTATATCAATATCATATTTAAGAAGCATGTTGACTGAAAACAATCTTGATCTGAAGTATCCAGGAGGCTGACAGAGGTCCTGACTATTGAGCAATATCAATATCAGGTTGAACAAGTTATGAAATTTTGGTTGATAAACGCAAGTTGATCGGGCTCATATATCAGCAAGAAAAAGTAAAATTAAAAGAGCTTATTGTCCAAAAACAAGCTATAATATTGCAGACCTTAGAGCAATACTGAAGAGCACGCTGAGCAGGATCATGCCAGAAAATGTTGACTGATGAGCGCATATTGATGTATTGGCATGAATATTGAATGATAACTTACAACAGCAAGATAAATTAGTGATAACTATCAAGTTAAAATCTAGAATAAATGGACTTGGGCAGTTTTACTATGCTTAGATGCTAAGCAGATTGTAATGTGCATCAGGTACTCAGTGTCTGGCAAATGAAACATGCGATCATTCCATTGCTACTGGAGGAGAAAGCTTGGATCACTAAATCCACTTTATGTTGATTTTGATGTTAATCATCATCACTGTATTTTCTGAAAAAAGGATTGTAGTAAAATTGTCAATGTGACAATCCATGCAACGATGTGATCATATTATGTGTTCATAGTCATTCGTGATAGTCATTATTGGTCCAATATACAATGGCAAAGCTCTCAGTCTCAGCGTTTCTTCCTGTGGATGGCCAGCAGTGACTCAGAGCTTAGAAGTATTAGTTTTCTTCACAGGGCTGGGATAAAAAGCACTGAGGGTAATCTTCCACCAAGGAACTCTACTTTGACATGGTATGAGATGTAGGCACAAGTAGGTAGGTGCTCAGTTCCTATAGTCAGTAGTTGTGTAGGTATGTTTAGCCGGGTTAGCTTAGATCAGATTGTTAGTTTTTTATTTGCCAAATGTCCATAAAAATGTGACCTGAGCAATGAGCATACCTGAACCTGACTAACCTGACAGCTGACCTAACCTCAATCATCACACATATTTGCAGCCTACCCAAGACCTGCATGGCAGTAGCACCCAGTTATAGGTAGGAACTCACCCTAACTCAATCTTACCTGCTAACCTTTAACTTGCCAAAAGTTAGCTCACATTGCCAAGCTGTGTCCAGGGAAACAGTCAACTGAGGAACTGGCTCATTGGGTGGCTGGTGTGAGTCTGTGAATTTAAAGTGTTTCTTCTCTGAAGCTGCTCTGCACTGCTGTAGCCTGTATGTCATGTTAGATGCTCAGAAAATGTGGGAAATGATTACTAAGCTACTTTAGTGCTTTGTCAATGCTCGAGACATGAACAAGTTTACAAGTACAGATCCTGCAGGGTACAGCTATGAGTTAGGTGCTAGGTGAGTATGTTATGTGAATGTGCTGTTCCCTGTTTGACCGTAAGTATACAAACAAGCACAGGGTCACATTTATATTCAATCTCCACATAAACATACAACAAAAACGGCCATAGCCTAACCCCGAACACACCACAGATAACTTAGGTAAGCCTTTGAAGGCACAAAAATGTTTTGATTAACAGGACAGGTTTACAATATATCCTCTGTCCTTGGGGGATCTTGCTGCCAAGTTGAGGTATGATGACTGAACTTCAGGATTGATCAACCTTTTCTTAGCCACTGCTTACATACGAGAAAGACCAAATGCTTGTTTGTTTTGATTTACAGGACATGTATACAATATATCCTCTGTCCTTGGGGGATCTTGCTGCCAAGTTGAGGTACGATGACTGAACTTCAGGATTGATCAACTTTTTCTTAGCCACTGCTTATAAACGAGAAAGACCAAATGCTTGTTTGTAAACTGCGTTGAAAATTTAATGATCCACCTTCAATTCTGACATGAAGGCACAAATGAAATAGTTCCCTCTCCTTTTGGAATACACAAAGCAAAATATTTAATAAATTTTAGTGGATGGACTAGTGCAATTAGCATAGCCTTCCCTCAAATTAACTTCTGGCACTGTTGATGAATTACACTGACGCTTATTCGCTTCATATTTTGTAACAAACGCGCTAAAACTGCAATATAACAGCACTATATGCTTCTTGACAAAATGCAATAGTATTAAAAATTTAGCCCTGATGGCATTCATTCTTGGTGGAAACGTAATTACAAAATATTTTGTAGTAACTATTAAATTCCGGCCGAAAACAGTGCACGGTTTCAAAAAGAATCATTCCAATGACGGTCCATTCTTGCGGTCCTCAAATCGCCACTATTTCCGGCCTCTCCAACGCAACTCGTTGTCCAGACGTAAATATGCTCTCACGATAGCGGTCAGTCTCAAGAATCTTGAACACGCCAGCTGTTTCCTTTATTTGTGGATTTGTATACGTGGAGGCGTGGAGGCGGCGGCGGCGACAGCGGAGAAGGTTAGGGGGGTTAAATACCTTGGTTAGGGGCTGGGGACCCTAACCAATGTTGTTTTAGGGCCTTGGCTAGGGGTTGGTTAGGGGTGCCCTTGGAATTATTTTTATTGTTTGGGGGTTACAATCTTACAATATATTTGTGTGCTTATATTTATAATTTTCAACGTTATGTTTGTTCTTGTGGGACTCCATACCTCCAACTGAACTACCTTTTGAGAAATTCACAACACTGACTGCTAATAAGCTTAGACAGCATTGTAGGGTAAGTGGCTCCTATCACGCACACCTAGTAGGAAAACTGCTTTTGAGACTTACTGAAACCTGTTTTGCTGATAAAATGGTCACAAGCAGTTTTCATAAGCATTTGCTTTCTTGATTTGACTTTTATGTTCCAGCGTTCCTTCATCATTTATGACATATAAGGCAAAACCTCCACCAACGTCCGACGTGCGCTAATAGAGCACTGGTGCTCTTATGACGCACATTCAGCTGCCTCAAATGCGCACAAGAACAATTCCAACAGGTTTAATAAACATGTCGAGGTATTGATCAAATCACTTTATTTTAAAGTTGAACACCATGAGCACATCATGAACTTTGAACTCGACACATCATGAAACACACCATGAACATGAACGCATCATGAACACATCATGAACTCGAAACCTTTTCACTGACTCAGTATCTACTGTCGGCAGAGGTCACAAGTGAAACTTGTCTGTTTTGTTTCAGCGTCAGTGCATGGCACGCATGCCCAGCCAGTGCACACTTGACATTGTATCCACTCTTCACACGATCGTGAGAACTTCATGCAGCAGTATATGCATGTCGTCTCACTTCCTGATGACTGGTCTTCATTGGGCTTTACCTTACCTGTTTTATTTTCACGTGTCCATGTTTGGCTGTTTTCTTTGTTTTTTCCTTGTTACCGTCGGACTCAAACAATGCCCTCTTTACCAGCACAGCATCTCTATTTACTGTCCTTCGCTTACCTTTCCTCTGCACGCGAGGGGTTGGCATCACGTCATGCAGACTTTTATCTAGTTCTTCGTCGTCCCGCATGGATACGGAGTCAGCACGAGATGTTCCATCAGCCGAGCTCCCGGGCCCGGCGTCACCAGCCGAGCGCCCGGGCCTGGCGTCACTTGCCGAGCGCCCGGGCCTGGCGTCACTTGCCGAGCGCCCGGGCCCGGCGTCACCAGCCGAGTGCCCGGGTCCGGCGTCACCAGCCGAGCTCCCGGGCCCAGCTTCACCTGCCGAGCGCCCGGGCCCGGCGTCCAGCTCCACCGCGGGAGTGGAGCTCAATGCCGCATTCTACACTGTGCCAATGCCTAACATGTCAATTCATCGTGATATAAGCTGTTCCTTGTAAGAAAGAAGGCTAGATAATCATCAAATGTACTGTGCGCATTTGCAGCACTGAAAGTGTGCGTCATTGCAGAACCAGTTGCCCTAAACACGCACACCTGACATTCAGCCCCCTCCCGTCAGCACTGACGCATGCTGGGTAAAGCATGCACGCCTAAACTGAGTCCCGTTTCATTGCCATCCGGTCAGTGCCCATCGATCTTTCCGGCCTATTCAGGTTTACGCGAGAAGTGCATGCGTCTTAAAACATGCATTATTGCTTCAGGCACTTTTTTGCTGAAGAAACATTGCACCTCAATCACAATATCCGCCATAACTACTCACCTTTTGAGCCGACAACACCCCACCGCCGTCCACA